AATTAAATATTACGCGTTTCAATATATCAGAATCACGCGCGCCTGACGAAACGAGATATCGATTATCTTACTTACTCGTATAGCAATTGCACGATTAGAGCGCAACGTAGTTCAAAAATAGCGCGCGTCAATGCATATAATTGGTAAAGTCGGCTCGATCTTACGATTGATTTGCGATCGATAGATTTTCACCAGTGCAATAACCCGTGGTACTGTGAAGCAGCGGCCTTGTCACAGTATTTAGCCGGGAAAAACGTACAGCCGAGTTAAGAAGTTCGGCGTCCTTGCGGCAGATCGCTTGTCAGTTATTACCGTCTTTTCCAGAATGCGTTTCTGCAATCCTCCGAACGATTGCAAAACCACGATTACGCCAATAGTTTGTATAGTCAACGACAAGTAATTTTAACCCTTTTTGTTCTATCGTCGAGTATCGTTAAAAATATTGGACATATTCGATTTAATCGTTTTTCTTTAATCCATCCGTAGTTAATTTGGAACAGGTTGTTTGAATAAAATACTTGAAAAACGATTACTTGACTCGATGTTATCTTGTGAAATAATACGTACTACTAACTTAGTTCATTCGAACAATTTTTGAATTTTGTTTTACAGCCTCCATTAATTTAATTTAGTTTTTAACTCAGAATTCTATCGACATATATATATACTAAATGCTAATTTGTAAGTCTGTGACATATAATACTAATTCATGTAGAAAATAATTATGTTATAGCTAAAAATTAAGTTGGTCGTCTGCTAGGAATAGTTGTGCAAATAAGAAACTGTTCATGTTCAATAAATAATTTTCAGTGCAGATGTAATTACATTATTCATATTTTCTGATTTTAATTCCTAATAATTCCTTCTAGTAGCGCTGTCGTGCAAAATCTGTCTAAATCGGTATGGTAGGATGTGACACGAAAATGGTAAAACGGGTCGTATGACCCCCTAAAACCTGGGACACAAAAAAGCATCGGATGTCCAGTCTATGCAAGTTATTCAATGATTCTACTTACAATTAGTCAATGACTCTATTCATAATTTGATATTAAACTAAATCGGTAAAGTTGGAAATGACACTAAATTAAGATAAAGACATTCCAAGTTTTTAATTTTACGAAAATATATTAAACGAATACTACTATAAATTTTAACTATATAATAAATATTTTAACTATAACATTAAGTATTATTGCATTGTATTATGTTTAAAATATAATTGTATTAATATAAGAACATATAAGACATAGCATAAAGAATTAAATCAAAATAAATTGATTTCAATTATAAAAAATATCGAGAAATTGAAGATATCACACGTACTTGTTACTTCAATTAAATAATTTGATAAAAATCATTTGCTTACTTGAAATATCTTATCTCCTATTCAGTCACTTCGGTCCATGAAAGCTTATTAAATTTTATTTATACACTTTTTAGAATAAATCGCACTAAATTTCCGTTAAAACACAAGCACAAATCATAGCGTCTTTCGAGATTTCACTGAACATACAAATTCGATATTAAATGCGAAACATCGAGATCTTGTAAGGAATTCTGCGAGAATCGATTCTCGATTTCGTAGCGCTACCAGCTACGTTCACGTGATATCACGTTTGTTATTGCCGTCGTATAGGTTATGATATGACTTAAAAATTTAAAAGAAAGACAAAATGAATATTGCCAGCAGACAATGGATTCGAATTTTCGCGACAAATATAACACATAACCAAATTTGTATTCTTGGCAGAGCCCTCGCTTATAAAAGTGCTTTTTCTCTCGACAAACTATACCCTACGAGCAACATAAAACTTTACACGCCAACGTTTGTAAGTTTATTATAATTTATTAACACATTAGAATTAATTATTTTCTATTATCGTTTCATTTCGCACGGTATTTCTGTTTTTTATTTTTACAGTATAATTGTTATAATTATAAACAGCTTTAGCTGAATTACTTTTTATCTCGTTCATTTCATACGCTGTAAAATATAATGTCCTTAATGAAAGAATTCTTATATTATATAACATTTCTAGGTTCCTGAAGATTCAAAAGCTAAATTTAATGGCTATATACCACTTAAGGAACTTGAAATCACATATTGCCGTAGCAGTGGTGCTGGAGGACAACATGTAAATCGTACAAACAGCAAAGTAGACTTAAGGTTACACGTAGAAAGTGCTAAATGGCTAGCAGAGGATATTAGAAATAAATTATTAGAACAGGTTTGTGACTTTTAACGAATATAAACAAATTTTACAATCGTATATATATAATTTTATATCGAAAAATTTATAATAATATTACAGCATAAAAATAAATTATCAAAAGAGGGTCATCTAATAATCAAGTCAGAATTAACAAGATCACAACATTTAAATTTAGCTGACGCTCTTGAAAAGTTAAGGAAAATAATATGGGAAGCGGCCAAAACACCATCGGAGATACCTCCTGAAACTCTAGAAATGAAAAGGAAACAACACCTTAGAGCAGCAAGAAAAAGACTTTTTGAAAAACGAAAACATTCTGAGATCAAACAATCTAGGATACCTCCTGTCGTAGACCTTTAATCTTATATGTTGTATATAAATCAATACAGTTCTGAATAAATGAAGTATGGTTTAAAGTATATAGTAATGGATCTCAAACGTTCTTCACTGATCCTTCATTTCTTTCAATTTGTATTAAATTGATTTAAAAAAAGGTAATTCAATTAATTAACAATTGTTATTCTAAGGTAAATACTGAATACATACTATAAATTTCATTACCAATTAATTAGTTATAAGAAATTAAATTAATTACAAATTAAATTGAATTTTTTATGCAACTGTAGTGGTATTTTCGAAAAATCGTTTTTTAAAGCGAAACGTAATATCTTTATCTGAGTTGATGTTTCCTTGACAACGTTCTGACTGAAAACCAAAACATAACGTGGAAAGTTGAAGGAAAGTGTTGCGATTTACTAAAACTCTGTTTTTAAAAGAAAAATGTCATTCCGTGACTTACGAAGTATTTAAATAATCTATTTTACAATAAATATTACGATACAATGTATACTTTTACGATAATTGCATTTAATTTTTTGATAGATTTCACGGAAATAATGCGGGTCCTTGGTTATCCCAGACTAATTTCTGTTGGAAATTTTCGACTACCGAATTTTCCACTGGTTGCCGAAATTCTTGTTTGGCTGGTCAAAAGATTCGATCCAGATGCGGACATATCTAGCGAGCATAATACCGAAGAAGAGCGTATTTCATTAATACGCACAGTTGCTGAATTTATGGTAATAAATCTTGTATAACAGTTTATAATTTTTAACTGATTAATTTCTATATTCCATGAAAATAAATTTGCAAATTTGTAAACTCTCATTATTGAATTTTATAATTAATGAACGAGTGAATTAATTGCCATTACTGAATTTAACATTGTTAAATGATTATGAACATAGGCTCTGAAGACAAACGTCAAATTAAATACAAAAAAGTTATACCAAGCTGATGGCTATGCTGTGAAAGAATTACTAAAAGTAGCTATACTACTGTACGATGCACAGAATAATAGCAATAACAGCAATATAATGTCTGATGACAGTTTTAATACTGTTAGTTTCGATATTTCCAATAAAATAAACGAATTGAAATCGACGAGACAACTAGCCAGCCAATTGACTGTTACTGGTGCATCACTTTTTGACTTACTGGGGCGAGAAGTTGACCTCAGAGAGATTCGTAACTCAAAAGTTGCCAGACAATTTGACACCACAGAAATCGAGGCTGCCTTGAAAGATGTTATTGAAAATATACATAAAGAAATTGAAGATACCAAAAAACAAATTGAGAACGTAAAGGTATTGTTGTCACCTCATCTTATTCTTGGGACTTTAAAATACATTTCTAATTTCTCTAATCTCTGAATATTCTACTGCTATTCCTCCGAAGGACACGGAGCAAAGTTTAGATACTAGAATCGAAAGACGACGTGCCGAACTCGATAGAAACCAGAAAAGATTACAAACATTAAAAAAAGTGCGTCCAGCTTTCATGGAAGAATTTGAGAAACTTGAAGTTGAACTAAGAGCTTTGTACGACGATTATATTCAAAAGTTTCGTTACCTTGCGTATCTTGAACATCTATATGAAGATGCAGCTAAAGCAGAACAAGAGAGATTTGAAAGACGGTACGTCATATAAATTATAAAGATTCACTCTGCAGCGAACGCAATATAATGTTTTCTAATTCAAAACAGGCAAGAAGCAACGCGAAAACAATTAGAAAAGATGAGGGCAGAGGATGCTGACTTTGAAAGCATGATGGAAGGAAATGATTCTATATTACCCACCAATCTTCAAGAACCTCCACCTCCTCTTGCTAATAATATAGAAAAACAAAACACCGAGAAAGCAGTACCAAGCAGTCGGTTGAAATCAGGTAAAAATACATAGTACATCGTTTTTTTTTTCAGTATTTTTAAAAAACTTGTTATAATATGCAGTTATCTTAACAAAGTTAGTATAATAACTGTTAAAACTACATTGTAAACATATTTTCTAAATATAACAGCTGGCCGATCATCGAGAATGCAAATATCACAGCGTCGTATTTACGGAAGCATGTCTGGACGTCAGAGAGGGACTATTCAAGAATCGAACGACAGTGGCGGTTCGCTAGATAGTGACAGTGATTTGTTGATCGATGGTGATCTCGATGACGACGACGATGACGATATTTTAGACTCTGTAGGAGGACCAGAGATCAGGAATTTTGATTTGAAGGTTGGGCAAGAAAAACGAGCCGTTAGTAAGCTAGATCATTCGGATGAGGATTTTTAACCATTACAAAAAAACAATTACAAAAATTTCAAAATATACCGTCCATGTAATTATCGATCTCTGTACGCATATCTTTACAATAACTGTAAATAGACGTTATTAATAAAAAGTAATGTATCATTAGTCTTTGTGATCGAATAAATTTAGACGGTGGTAAAAAATACTTAAGATATTATGTATATGTATATATACGACATACGTGTGTTAAATAATATGAAATTCAATTATTCGTATAATTGTACATGTATTCCAGACTTATATTTACGAAATATATTTTCAAGGGAATCAAAATACATATTGTCGTCGTATAATATTTATTAACTTCTTCAACACGACCAAACGGCATGTTGACTGTGGCTTAGCACCGATCACATGTACGTATTTTCACCTATCCTACGTGCTGCGTGTACGTAAATGCACGTACACCTCACAGTGTATACACATATATACATAAATGTATGTGCGCGTAAAAAATGTGACATTATGAAAAAAAAAAAAA